TCCCTCGCAGAGACCGACAGGAAGGAGGTGAACCAGGGCCAGGAGAGGACGGTAGGCGGCTCCTCCAGCGGCCTCGTCCACTTGGGGTCGAGGAGGAAGACCACCGTCAGAAGACCCAAGAGTATCAACGCACCAGCGACCATCACGTAATAGTCAAGAACAGTCTCAAAGGTGGAGACAATGCTCTTGGACAGGCGCAGGACGGGGCCGGGGCTAGGCGCCCTGACGTAGCGGTACTGCGTGCCCTGGCCAGCCTGGGACGTCCCCAGGACGTGACCCAACCAGTACAGGCAGGAGTTAACAACCAGGACCAGCCTGGAGGCGACCAGGGTTTGGGGTCTTGGGTGGTGGACGGTAGCGGGCTTGCACCTGTGCATCAGCCTCCACACAGCCCACCCCAGCATGAATGGCAGGACAAGGCAGACGGAGGCGCAGTAGAAGCGAGCACCGGTCCAACCGGCCCTTGGGGCCTCGTTCCTTATGCGAACCGACAGCAAGTAGTTGAGAGACGTAGTGAAGCTGCAGACTGGCTTCTGCTGCTGCCCTGGGAGCAGGCACTTCAGGTTATGGACTAAGGCGCCGCCATACCGGTTGACTAGGAACTTCTCCAGCAGTAGTCCCAAGACTATCAAGACACTATCGACCACCCGGCAATAGTAACCAGTAGTGTCCATGCTGGTGACCACACTCCTGAAGTGGCGCAGGCGCAGGAGGGAGCCAACGATGGGCACCCAGGTCCAGGCGCCGTCCACGGGCACCTTCAGGTGGTCTGGGACCCGGCTCCCGACCACTGGCAAGGACGCCAGCCAGGTCCACAGGTCACTGCTGGCCCCCCAGCGGCCAGCCTCCACGCGGGACTTGACATGCCCAGCCCTGGACTTGCCCAGGGAATCCAGGCTCAACCGGTAATATAGGTAGTTAAGTACTTCTACGAGCAGCCAGGTCGAGGTCAAATACACGATAATGTCTTTGGAGCAATACTCAAACATGTTTTACGCCTATTTACAAAAAATATATATTTTGTATTACAAGTTCCCAAGTGCGAATTTGGCTTCGGTGTTTAAAACGGAAGTCAGATGTAAGTTACCAAGGGGTGTATAGACCTGTTGCTTGAGTTACCATAGCAGGCGTTGCTGGCACTGTATGTGTCATATGTAAGCCAAGCTTGCCCTCTTAAGCCCGCGGGCTCCAAGTGTTCTTCCGGCAAGGTTCTTCGGACTTTTATGGATGTATATTGTGTTTTGTTAGAATTCAAACACATGCTCTCTCCTTAGCGCCTTATTTTGTACTGCTTGCAGTTTCTGCATGTTAGTTTTCCTTATGGTGTGTAGTGGTACTGGGGGATACTCTAGATGCGGCCGAACTAAAGCCTTGTATAGGTGGATCTGAATGTTAGTACTGAGGCTTCGGAATCTTCTCAGTTTTCCTAATGCTGCTTTGGCTTTGTTTAGTCGGTCCCTTACATGAATTTGTATCCCTGTTCTATTTATCATAAGTCCCAGTATTCTGCGTACCTCCGCATATTGGATCCGATGGTTGTCAAGGATGATGGGGTCCGGGTCCCCCCTCCGCCTGCCCCACACTCCCCCTTCCGCCTGCCCCACACTCCCCCCCTCCGCCTGCCCCACACTCCCCCCCTCCGCCTGCCCCACACTCCCCCCCCCTCCGCCTGCCCCACACTCCTCCCCCCTCTGGTCTAAGAGAGATTAGGGAGGGGAGAGAGATTAGGGAGGGGAGAGAGATTAGGGAGGGGAGAGGGAGGGAGGGGAGAGAGATTAGGGAGGGGAGACAGGGAGAAAGATTAGGGAGGAGGAGACAGAGAGGGAGAGAGATTAGGGAGTTGGAGAGAGAGATTAGGGAGTTGGAGAGAGAGATTAGGGAGTTGGAGAGAGAGAGAAAGAGAGATAAGGGAGTTGGAGAGAGAGAGAGAGAGAGAGAGAGAGAGAGAGAGAGAGAGAGAGAGAGAGAGAGAGAGAGAGAGCAACGAAGATGCAAAGGCACAGGTGAAAGAAACGGTTAAGGAATGGGAAATACTGTGTGAGTTATGACAGCAGGCGGGCTGTCCGCCTTGCTGACACCATGTGTGAGTGTTGGCAACTAAGCTAAGATCGCGCTCTCTCTGTCAGGGAGCCGAGTGTGTGTGTGAGACGTTTTTCACAAGTATTTCAGCATATATGGTTGTCTATAGATGGATAGTATGTAGCGTTCATATATATACGCACTCGGATATTATAGTACATATTAGAGTACTGTGTGTCAGGGTCAGGCGTTATTAGTCATTTGTATGTATGTATGTAGTGGTTTTCTACTGGGGGGGGGGGTAATTTCTGGTCAATACTTCATCTAGGAATCATGTATAGTGAGTAGTGATTTCTATTTAGTAGATTCAAACTTTTGGGTCACCAGCTGTGGGAGTGGGGCGTCTCATCTTGGGCCACCAGCTGTGGGAGTGGGGCGTCTCATCTTGGGCCACCAGCTGTGGGAGTGGGGCGTCTCATCTTGGGCCACCAGCTGTGGGAGCGGGGCGTCTCATCTTGGGTCACCAGCTGTGGGAGCGGGGCGTCTCATCTTGGGCCACCAGCTAAGGGAGTGGGGCGTCTCATCTTGGGCCACCAGCTGTGGGAGTGGGGCGTCTCATCTTGGGCCACCAGCTGTGGGAGTGGGGCGTCTCATCTTGGGCCACCAGCTAAGGGAGTGGGGCGTCTCATCTTGGGTCACCAGCTGTGGGAGTGGGGCGTCTCATCTTGGGCCACCAGCTGTGGGAGCGGGGCGTCTCATCTTGGGCCACCAGCTGTGAGAGCGGGGCGTCTCATCTTGGGCCACCAGCTGTGGGAGTGGGGCGTCTCATCTTGGGCCACCAGCTGTGGGAGCGGGGCGTCTCATCTTGGGCCACCAGCTGTGGGAGCGGGGCGTCTCATCTTGGGCCACCAGCTAAGGGAGTGGGGCGTCTCATCTTGGGCCACCAGCTGTGGGAGCGGGGCGTCTCATCTTGGGCCACCAGCTGTGGGAGCGGGGCGTCTCATCTTGGGCCACCAGCTGTGGGAGCGGGGCGTCTCATCTTGGGCCACCAGCTGTGGGAGTGGGGCGTCTCATCTTGGGCCACCAGCTGTGGGAGCGGGGCGTCTCATCTTGGGTCACCAGCTGTGGGAGCGGGGCGTCTCATCTTGGGCCACCAGCTGTGGGAGCGGGGCGTCTCATCTTGGGCCACCAGCTGTGGGAGTGGGGCGTCTCATCTTGGGCCACCAGCTGTGGGAGCGGGGCGTCTCATCTTGGGTCACCAGCTGTGGGAGCGGGGCGTCTCATCTTGGGCCACCAGCTGTGGGAGCGGGGCGTCTCATCTTGGGCCACCAGCTGTGGGAGTGGGGCGTCTCATCTTGGGCCACCAGCTGTGGGAGTGGGGCGTCTCATCTTGGGCCACCAGCTGTGGGAGTGGGGCGTCTCATCTTGGGCCACCAGCTGTGGGAGCGGGGCGTCTCATCTTGGGCCACCAGCTAAGGGAGTGGGGCGTCTCATCTTGGGTCACCAGCTGTGGGAGTGGGGCGTCTCATCTTGGGTCACCAGCTGTGGGAGTGGGGCGTCTCATCTTGGGCCACCAGCTGTGGGAGTGGGGCGTCTCATCTTGGGCCACCAGCTGTGGGAGTGGGGCGTCTCATCTTGGGCCACCAGCTGTGGGAGCGGGGCGTCTCATCTTGGGCCACCAGCTAAGGGAGTGGGGCGTCTCATCTTGGGCCACCAGCTAAGGGAGTGGGGCGTCTCATCTTGGGCCACCAGCTAAGGGAGTGGGGCGTCTCATCTTGGGCCACCAGCTGTGGGAGCGGGGCGTCTCATCTTGGACCACAAGCTGTGGGAGTGGGGCGTCTCATCTTGGGCCACCAGCTGTGGGAGTGGGGCGTCTCATCTTGGGCCACCAGCTGTGGGAGTGGGGCGTCTCATCTTGGGCCACCAGCTGTGGGAGTGGGGCGTCTCATCTTGGGCCACCAGCTGTGGGAGTAGGGCGTCTCATCTTGGGCCACCAGCTGTGGGAGTGGGGCGTCTCATCTTGGGCCACCAGCTGTGGGAGTGGGGCGTCTCATCTTGGGCCACCAGCTGTGGGAGCGGGGTGTCTCATCCTCTCCTCCTCCCCTGCCGTACTCATCATGCAGTGAGTCAGTGCTCGCAACCTTCCCTCTTCGTGACACTGGTCACCACCTCCAGTACTACCATGTCCCCCCCCCCTACATGCAACACACCCTCCCCTCCCCCCCCCTACATGCAACACACCCTCCCCTCCCCCCCTACATGCAACACCCCCGCCCCCCCCCCCCCCGCCACCAGTGTCACCCATCACCTGCTTCACAACTCGGGTTGACTCAGCAAATATATTGTCATGAAGTATTCAGCGCTGTACCGCCATATATCACAATAATTATTACAAAATACGCACCAAACTCAATATATCATAAATTGCAGTGAGCCTGAAAGGACACGAGGCGTCGCTCGGCTGCCATGGCGGTAAATATTCCCACAAGGAACGATCGCTCGGAACTGGAACCCGAGCGATGATATTTAGGGTTGGCAACCCTAACGCCTCGGCCTGCCCCCCCCCCCCCCCAACCCTTTCATTACCCTTAAATCTCCGATGAAAGCTCCAGAAATCCACAATGTCCTTCGACTCGGCCACATCCCCGACCAATCAAAATCCACAGCCATAACTTCTCTCCATCCTGATTGGCGGACATATGCACACGGAGCGCCTCGAGTTTTCCTAATTATCGCCCATGCCAGTCCCTCGACCAATCGCAATTGAGGTAGTGGAAAAGCTGGATTGCCATTGAGAGAGCGAGAGAGGCGCGCGGGCCCCGTCTAGAGCCCACCCTCTAATTATCACCCTCTATTCTCGGGTTCACCCGAGCCCAATGTTAATATTTAGACTGTCGCGTCGGTTTAACACGTCCGGAGCCGTCGCTCACCATCCCACCTAACTCCACACACCTTCCACCAATCGCAAAATCCGGCGACTCTCAAACCAGGCGACGATTGGTCGGGCGGGCGGGGATTATGTCTCCAGCGGAGACTTCCGACACAAAGGCATTAGGAAACGCGTTGAAGGAGACGTGGTGATTATAATATTTGTGCGCACATCCTTGGTGATGCCCACCACTCCCCGCAGGTCCCAGCTTGTACTTGTACAGCTTGTACAGCTTGTCCTTGTTCAGCTTGTCCTTGTACGTGTCCAGCTTGTCCGTGTTCAGCTTGTACGTGTTCAGCTTGTACGTGTTCAGCTTGTACGTGTTCAGCTTATACGTGTTCAGCTTGTACGTGCTCAGCTTGTACGTGTTCAGCTTGTACGTGTTCAGCTTGTCCTTGTTCAGCTTGTACGTGTTCAGCTTGTCCTTGTTCAGCTTGTACTTGTTCAGCTTGTACTTGTTCAGCTTGTACTTGTTCAGCTTGTACTTGTTCAGCTTGTACTTGTACAGCTTGTCCGTGTTCAGCTTGTACGTGTCCAGCTTGTACGTGTTCAGCTTGTACGTGTCCAGCTTGTACGTGTTCAGCTTGTACGTGTTCAGCTTGTACGTGTCCAGCTTGTCCTTGTTCAGCTTGTCCTTGTACGTGTCCAGCTTGTCCGTGTTCAGCTTGTACGTGTCCAGCTTGTCCTTGTTCAGCTTGTCCTTGTACGTGTCCAGCTTGTCCGTGTTCAGCTTGTACGTGTTCAGCTTGTCCGTGTTCAGCTTGTACTTGTACAGCTTGTACGCGTTCAGCTTGTACGTGTTCAGCTTGTACGCGTTCAGCTTGTACGCGTTCAGCTTGTACGTGTCCAGCTTGTACGTGTTCAGCTTGTACGTGTCCAGCTTGTACGTGTTCAGCTTGTACGTGTTCAGCTTGTACGTGTTCAGCTTGTACGTGTCCAGCTTGTACGTGTCCAGCTTGTACGTGTTCAGCTTGTACGTGTTCAGCTTGTACGTGTTCAGCTTGTACGTATCCAGCTTGTACGTGTTCAGCTTGTACGTGTTCAGCTTGTACGTGTCCAGCTTGTACGTGTTCAGCTTGTACGTGTCCAGCTTGTACGTGTTCAGCCTGTCCGTGTTCAGCTTGTATTTGTACAGCTTGTACGCGTTCAGCTTGTACGTGTTCAGCTTGTACGTGTTCAGCTTGTACGTGTTCAGCTTGTACGTGTCCAGCTTGTAAGTGTCCAGCTTGTACGTGTCCAGCTTGTACGTGTTCAGCTTGTACGTGTCCAGCTTGTACGTGTTCAGCCTGTCCGTGTTCAGCTTGTACGTGTTCAGCCTGTCCGTGTCCAGCTTGTACGTGTTCAGCTTGTACGTGTCCAGCTTGTACGTGTTCAGCCTGTCCGTGTTCAGCTTGTACTTGTACAGCTTGTATGCGTTCAGCTTGTACGTGTTCAGCTTGTCCGTGTTCAGCTTGTACTTGTACAGCTTGTACTTGTACAGCTTGTCCGTGTTCAGCTTGTCCGTGTTCAGCTTGTACTTGCTCAGCTTGTACTTGCTCAGCTTGTACATGCTCAGCTTGTACATGCTCAGCTTGTACAGCCTGTGAAGGTGTGTGAGGGGCAGAGAGAGACCAACACTTGTAAGATGAGGTACGCACTCTGTAGTCCTCTTATAAGAGGCATATTCCTCTTAGCTAGTGGCTCTTGTGCGTGTTTGGGCATCGTGTAGCACTTGCTAGGTCGGAGGTCTGTGTATGTACTATTTGTATGTACTATTTGTATGTACTATTTGTATGTACTATTTATATGTACTATTTGTATGTACTATTTATATGTACTATTTGTATGTACTATTTATATGTACTATTTGTATCTGCAGAATCGAGCTATTCGCTCTTGGATCCCGCCTTTCTAACCAATTTATTTTTCCTCAATGTCTACTATATATATTTCTCTTACACACACGGGCCTGATAGTTGATTGGACAGCTCTCTGGACTCGTAATCCTAGGGCCGGGTTCGTTTCCTGGTGATGGCAGAAACAAAATGGGTAGAGTTTCTTTCATCCTGATGCACCTGGTACCCAGCAGTAAATAGGTACCTGGGAGTTAGACAGCTGCTACGGGCTGCTTCCTGGGTGTGTGTGGTGTGTGTGTGTGTGTGTGGGTGCGTGTGTGTGGTATGTGTGTGGTGTGTGTGTGTGTGTGTGTGTGTGTGTGTGTGTGTGTGTGTGTGTGTGTGTGTGTGTGTAGTGTGTGTGTGTAGTGTGTGTGTGTGGTGTGTGTGTGTGTGTGTGTGTGTGTGTGTGTGTGTGTGTGTGTGTGTGTGTGTGTGTGTGTGTGTGTGTGTGTGTGTGTGTGGTGTGTGTGTGTGTGTGTGTGTGTGTGTGTGTGTGTGTGTGGTGTGTGTGTGTGTGTGTGTGTGTGTGTGTGTGTGTGTGTGTGTGTGTGTGTGTGTGTGTGTGTGTGTGTGTGTGTGTGTGTGTGTGTGTGTGTGTGTGTGTGTGTGTGTGTGTGTGTGTGTGTGTGTGTGTGTGTGTGTGTGTGTGTGTGTGTGTGTGTGTGTGTGTGTGTGTGGTGTGTGTGTGTGTGTGTGTGTGTGTGTGTGTGTGTGTGGTGTGTGTGTGTGTGTGTGTGTGTGTGTGTGTGTGTGTGTGTGTGTGTGTGTGTGTGTGTGTGTGTGTGTGTGTGTGTGTGTGTGTGTGTGTGTGTGTGTGTGTGTGTGTGTGTTGTGTGTTGTGTGTGTGTGTGTGTGTGTGTGTGTGGTGTGTGTGGTCTGGTGTGTGTGGTCTGGTGTGTGTTTTGTGTTTTTGGAGGGTGTGTGGGGCTGAATGGGCTTCACAAGGCTGGGCTAGGAGCCTCGCAGGCCTGGCAAGGCGGGACTAGACTAGAGGGGGGCCGAGCCCGTCCCTACAAGACCGTCCAGACGAGTACCATCACCACCCCACCACCACCAACCTCGACCCCTAAACACGCATCTTAACGTCGCCCAGTGTAATAAATTATCAGAATTATCCTCGGCTGAGTCCCCAGCTTGTATTTACAGACTGATAAATAAGGGAGGGAGCCGCGGACACTACAGGGATAATTACAGCCGCTAATCCCACAATTACAGCCGCTAATCCCACAATTACAGCCGCTAATCCCACAATTACAGCCGCTAATCCCACAATTACAGCCGCGTGTTCTCCACGCGGCTCCGGCACCTCACACGCTTCACAACCGCTAACTCAAAGACTCCATATAAAGAGATATTCCTCATCAACAAATAATTAAATTTGTTGAGGTTTCGGCGATTGTGGTAATGGAGGCGTTTATTAATTGTGTTTTAATGACGAGTTATACTCGAATTATTGGAATATATTCAGCAATTAGTTTTCGTTAATGACAAGGTGGTGATGTTAGTGTTTAGTGATGGTATGGTGACGTGGTGGTATAGGTCTGTGATGGTATGGTGACGTGGTGGTATAGGTCTGTGATGGTATGGTGATGTGGTCGTATAGGTCTGTGATGGTATGGTGACGTGGTCGTAAGGTCTGTGATGGTATGGTGACGTGGTCGTAAGGTCTGTGATGGTATGGTGATGTGGTCGTTTAGGTCTGTGATGGTATGGTGATGTGGTCGTTTAGGTCTGTGATGGTATGGTGACGTGGTGGTATAGGTCTGTGATGGTATGGTGATGTGGTCGTAAGGTCTGTGATGGTATGGTGATGTGGTCGTATAGGTCTGTGATGGTATGGTGACGTGGTCGTAAGGTCTGTGATGGTATGGTGACGTGGTCGTAAGGTCTGTGATGGTATGGTGACGTGGTCGTATAGGTCTGTGATGGTATGGTGACGTGGTCGTATAGGTCTGTGATGGTATGGTGATGTGGTCGTATAGGTCTGTGATGGTATGGTGACGTGGTCGTAAGGTCTGTGATGGTATGGTGATGTGGTCGTATAGGTCTGTGATGTGACGTTATGGTGAGGGACGTGTGAGAAGAACGCCAAGCAGGACAGGGATCCCTTCCTATCCCACGACCCAAGTCTCTACCTATCCTATAGTTTTGCCTCAGAGCCTCGCTCCTAACCCTTCATCGTTTCCACCGCTACCAAGGACTTAATTCCCCCTTTCCCCCCCCCCCACCACTTACCAGACATGATTCACTTCGCATTGCTTGCAACATCTCCATTTCCCCCTCCTGGATTGCAAACTCTGGAGTGACGTTGGAACTATTTGAAGAAGGGCAGAAAACGCCCAAAACTTCGTCTCACGAAACTCTCATATTCATGTGTATTTCCTAAAATATACATATATAACCCTTTATAATGTCAAAGTATACCTTTCGCTTTGGCACTGTATGTCAAGTAGTGAATTAAAAACAATTGCTACATGTCAAGCTCTGAAAGAACCGTCTGACTGACAGGCTGGAACAGTCAGCTACGTCACGCTGCTGACAAATTAATGCAGAATGATGAATTTCAAAAGTAAACATATTTCAGTTCCCTTCCAAGATCACTATCGTAAACCTTGGACATCAAACTTAAAATTTCAAATTGCTACAGAATGTTTTAGGTCATTTCAAATTATCAATGGATTGGTGGACATGGTATACACAAATCTAACACTGTGTTTACATTGAAAACATTGACCTTGTGTCTACAAGCATTCTGTAACAAATTCCCTTGTAGCTACCTATATTTTTGACGATTTTCAGTTATTAGTAAGACCTATACAAGTTTGTTAAAACTATTTGTTTTACTTTGTACTGTTAATGAAAAGTTGGTAAGATCTCATAAAGCAGAAAATACTACATATTATCGTGTAAAACTGAATAAAGAGAAGAGTCCGCAGCCAATGGACTAAATTTCGAAAGCCCGAAAGCGCCCGTCACCTGTTCTTGTCTGACGCGTCAAACAAACAACCAAGGTTTTCCTATCCTCTTTTTTGCACTCCTCTGGCAGTCTTACCTTTAAGGAGAACTATTACTGCCTTGTTATACTCGTCCTCCTCCAGTGTATGGGATGCTCTGAAGGTAGCACAGGCCTTTCCAGCGTCTTCTTAAGATCCTTATCATAGTATGTGATACGTACATGATTTTCTCAAGGTTCTCATCCCACATTATATCTTGAGGCGACACACAACCGCTTCACACCTTCCTGCAGCCTTACTCAGCCCTCAGGGCAGCCCACAACTCAGGGGTCACACCCGCCTCCATCTTCAACCACCAAACAATACCTGGCAACCACCAGAACCAGACACGACCCAAGAACATACAACTGCTGCAATCACCACCTGCAGGTACATACAACTGCTGCTATCACCACCTGCAGGTACATACAACTGCTGCTATCACCACCTGCAGGTACACACAACTGCTGCTATCACCACCTGCAGGTACACACAACTGCTGCTATCACCACCTGCAGGTACACACAACTGCTGCTATCACCACCTGCAGGTACATACAACTGCTGCTATCACCACCTGCAGGTACACACAACTGCTGCTATCACCACCTGCAGGTACATACAACTGCTGCTATCACCACCTGCAGGTACACACAACTGCTGCTATCACCACCTGCAGGTACACACAACTGCTGCAATCACCACCTGCAGGAACACACAACTGCTGCTATCACCACCTGCAGGTACACACAACTGCTGCTATCACCACCTGCAGGTACACACAACTGCTGCTATCACCACATGCAGGTACACACAACTGCTGCTATCACCACCTGCAGGTACACACAACTGCTGCTATCACCACCTGCAGGTACACACAACTGCTGCTATCACCACCTGCAGGAACACACAACTGCTGCTATCACCACCTGCAGGAACACACAACTGCTGCTATCGCCACCTGCAGGTACACACAACTGCTGCAATCACCACCTGCAGGTACACACAACTGCTGCTATCACCACCTGCAGGTACACACAACTGCTGCTATCACCACCTCCAGGTACACACAACTGCTGCTATCACCACCTGCAGGTACATACAACTGCTGCTATCACCACCTGCAGGTACACACAACTGCTGCTATCACCACCTGCAGGTACACACAACTGCTGCAATCACCACCTGCAGGTACACATAACTGCTGCTATCACCACCTGCAGGTACACACAACTGCTGCTATCACCACCTGCAGGTACATACAACTGCTGCAATCACCACCTGCAGGTGTACACAACTGTTGCTATCACCACCTGCAGGTACACACAACTGCTGCTATCACCACCTGCAGGTACACACAACTGCTGCTATCACCACCTGCAGGTACACACAACTGCTGCTATCACCACCTGCAGGTACACACAACTGCTGCTATCACCACCTGCAGGTACACACAACTGCTGCTATCACCACCTGCAGGTACACACAACTGCTGCAATCACCACCTGCAGGTGTACACAACTGTTGCTATCACCACCTGCAGGTACATACAACTGCTCCAACCACCACCTGCAGGTACACATAACTGCTGTTGTAACCATGTGCAGATTTATGTGAATTTACCCTTACCTGAAGGTCACAAGTGGCCTCTATGGGGACAGGAAGCCGGTAGTTTGTCAAATGTCTCCACTAATC